CATGTCCATGTAAATTTTGTGGGGACCATAAATGGCATAGTTGTTGAGAGCTGAGTAATTTGATCCTTCAAAGGTGCTCCTGAAAGAAACGTTTCATTGCATAAGGCTAAATTTTAGTTCTATAATTTAATCATCTCACCGCTGCTGTCTATAACTTCATTGTCCAACAGCTTCTGAATGCTCATGATCATAGACAAAAGTGCAGCCCAGCAGGGATAAAGGGCTGCTTGTCTAATTCCCATCTTCTGTGCAACTCTATGGCCCTTCCCATAAAAAGATCGGCAATAATGCAGGTGATTTCTTGTCATCTATTTTGGTAATGCCTTCTAGAAGCTCTTCTAGTTTGTTGGGCATCACTTGGGACATTGCTTCTGTCAACTTGCTGTGGTCACTCCTGTCCTCCGAATCTCCCATGGTCCCATTCCATCTGGGATCCAAACCATTTGCATCGAATCATTTGGACCATCTTTCTCTGACCAGGCAGCCTGACATTCATAATCTGTTTGTGAGTGACCTCATGGGCTTGTCCTGGATAAGGTATTACCAGAACATGAATATTTTTCATTTTTGTTTCTCTTGGAGTTTTTAGAACGACTTACATTTTGCACTCAAAATGACTCCTTTCTCATTCTTGTAGCATAAATCATTGAGGTTCCAATTAGATTAAACAAAATGATAATTTACGCCAAACTATTTACAATTGAAGTCAGAAGGTTTGATCATAAAAACATATCTATTTTGGCAAATAATTTTAATACTGGTGTTAGGTATGAAGTGGATGTGAACAATTTTATGAAGGACATCATAACTTGATACTTTAGGTGTTCAAATTAAATTGATATTTGATTAGCAATAACTATAACTTGATAGGTCAGGTATTCATATCAAATTCATATGTGATTTGGTACAGATCTAGTCATTTACGATGGTGTATCCAGTGGCGGGACTAGAAAATCTATAAAAAGGATAACCTAACTTGCTAGCATGCTTTGCCACTCGTTGTTCCTTCCTTGAAACTATTCAAGAAAATTTAGATTAATATGTATATGATAAAACTTGTAGGCAATAAAATGTAGGCAAGGTTAGTCTTTTTCTGGAAAAAAAGCTTCCTTTGTTGCCTGGAAAACAAAAACCCTCATGTAACAAAATAATATTCCGTTATTCCATTTGGTTAATTATTGTTGTAAAAAATTATTTACGATCAGGTCTCGTGGTACATTGTGAAATGCATGTACATAATAGCGTGGCAATGTATGAATTTTATCTTCTCCATCCCCAAATGTAGGAGCATACAGATTTTTGGTTTACACACGATTGTTGTGCCTATATTAAGTTAAAGAGATGATAAGCTTATGATATGCATTTAATAGCAATTGAAGTTGCACATCATTAGAAATGGATCTACCTTTCGTTGTATTATGCAAAAACCTTCAAGTATTTGCAACTGTCATTATGTGATCATCCAATGTGCTTGTTAAAAAGTGTATGCTAACACTCTAGATTAGAGAAAGTTTAGCTACCCACATAAAGTAGTTAAATGTACCTTGTGATCATATGCTGGGAACACAAAATGAAGTCCAAGAAATAACCACAGTAAGTTATGATTTATTATGAGAACACAATAAAGTTTACAACTGACCACATTTAGGTAATTCACTCTTGTATTGGATTGTGCCATTAGCATCTTTCTCCTTTATCCATTCAATGAAGCATTCAAAGTTCTTGCACGAGCATCCACCTTTTTTGATACTATTCATAACCTTTTCTTTTAGATTCAGGGCCTTGAATTCTCTGTTGCTCAGCAGCTGGTCCACTTTATCTGTGATCTCTTCCCTTCTGATAATACTATTTTCATCTTTTTGAAAACCCAGTCCGTTCATCCAAATGTTACAAATGTAAGTCTTGTTAAGTAACTGATCAGCAAAGTAAGGCCAGGACAAAAAAGGGACCCCATTGCTGACACCTTCCAAAGTAGAGTTCCAACCACAGTGGCTCAAGAACCAAGCAACAGAAGATTGAGCTAAGACCTCCTGATGAGGTGCCCAGCTCACTATCTTGCCACGAGAGCCCATTCTGTCCATATATCCATTTTGTCTCGTTGGTTAACCTGGCCGCACAACCACAGGAAAGGCTTGTTGGTGAGTTCAAGACCAAGTGCCAGTTCTTGAAACTGAGTCTAGTTGAATATTGTGAAGCTTCCAAATGCCATGTAGATGACTGAGCACGCCGACTGCTGATCAAGCCATGCTAGACATGTAGAGTCTTCTTGCCAGAAGTGGCCTGCTTGTTTTGCCTGTCGATTGCTTGCCAAGAGAAGACCTACTGACACCAGGTTGGGGAACATGCTGAATGTTGAAGATTCCAGCTCGTTAGTTGAGTTGCAAAGCTTCCACTTTGCAGCTTGGCAGCTTTAACCGTTAACTTAAAAAGGGTTTTTGTTGTGGCCAAGTTGCCTATACAGCCCCATGCTATTCTGCAGCTTTCATGGGTGGCATGGTTGGTGATAGCTGGAATATTTGGTCTTTTAAAAGGGCTCCTGAATGTAAAATGTTCTACAAAGTAAGCTGGAAACTCTGAATCAAAGTTCAGTATCAAAATCTATTTTCAATTGGCTCACCGTCATTATCCATGATTCCATCATCAATCAGTTTCCGAATGCTCAACATGGTGGCCAGTGTGCCATCTGGAGCAGACCAGAAGGTAGCTCGCTGAATTCCCAACTTCTCTGCAACATGTATGGCCCATGACATGCATTCATCTGCAATAACACAGCTGATTTTCTCGTAATTTGTTTTGTTAATCATATCTATGAGCTCTTCCAGCTTGCCGGCATGACTTGGTTGATTGCTTCTGAAGACCTAACAAAGTCGTTCCTGTCCTCCCATGGTTCCATCCCATCTGGGATCAAAACCATGTTGATTAGATCAGCAGAACTCCCCTTCTCCGACCATGTCTTCCTGATGAGTTTGTGGTTGACATCTGTGTTCACGAATGTGACTTTCACTCCATGCTCGGTTAAGCACTGAGTGAGTTCCATTAAAGGAATTACATGACCTTGTGCTATATAAGGTATAACTAGCACGTGGGTCTTTTCAGTCTGTTGATCTCCCATTTTTGGAGATTTACAAGATTTCTACACCTGATTGTTTCTCACTTTTATACACAAGCATAATAAGTTTGCATAGCTTCTCACTTTCATTGTTGTTTATTAAATTTCATCAAACAGTGTCGTAGTTAATGCAGGCTTCAGTTTCATCGACATTGTTAATTCCTGTGTCTAAATATGTGATCTGTCGTAATCCTTTTAGAAGCATTGTGGTTAAAGCAGGCTTCAGTTTCATCGACATTCTTTTCTCAGGTCTCTCTCTGCATGGTATATATCTAAATATATAGTTGGCTAATGAACTTGCTAGCAATATGAAAATGAGATTGTAGTGATTTTGAGAACAGAACAAGCTGACTTCTAAGATCTTTAGTTTGTTATTCACTTTGTTCCTTAACAAGTACTGTTTACTTTTAAAATCAAACCTCACCTTCTCAATTCAAACCATTATGGAATTTATCACAGACTAAGCACCAATAGGGATATTTTTCACAAAATCATCATTGGTTTGTTGACTATCAGAAAAGCTTGCAAGCCAACTTTACCAAGGGAAACTTGTGTTTTCATTGTAGTCTCAAAACATATACGGTGGCACACAACAAATTGATACGGTGGCACTTTTCCCGACCCTACAATTTTTTAAACTATGACGGAGGAACGAGGCGGTGGCCCGTGCCACCATATTCACCACCTGGGTCCGTCCCTGCTTGCAATTCCTTTCTTTTGTGCTATGTTTGGACCATGGATTTCCTTGCTATTGTACGTTGTCTCTTAATTACTACTCGTCTACACAGGCTCGATATGTTGCAAAAGTATGTTGACTAATAAACTTGCTAGCAATATGACTATGGGATTCTAGTGGTTGAGAACATAACAAGCTGGAACTTCTAGGATCCACCATGCATGTTGTTTTACTTTGTCATTGACTCTTTTCCGTCACAATTGCTTCTTTTTTTACTTTTGACATCAAATCTCATCTTCCCAATTCAAATCATTATGGAATTTATCACAAACTAAGCACCTATATTGGCTTGTAGCAGACTTGAGGCTTTCATTATATTGGCTGTTGCTCTACATAACTTGTGTTATAGTAGTCATTTCGACAGGGGAAAGAACTCATGAAGGGTTCATTGGTGGTGAAACAAGGAAAAGCCTGGCCATGCCGCCATGGTACAAGACCCGTATGAAAGTGTGTTAAAATGAATTGAACACAATGGAAGCCAAATCTGTGACAGAAGATGCTAGGACGCTCGAGTTAGAAATGGATCAAATTTCTGGTCAAGAATTCATTAATTCTTCTTTCCAAGGTAAGAATTTAAATTAGCCCAATGATTGTTTGTTTGGTACACAACAGAGATAGGATTTTCTTTTGCAATTTTGTTATAGAGTTGGGTTCCGGTGAGAATAAAAGTTATGGTGAGAAGGGTAGGAAGGGATCTCCACCCTTGGATCAATTCTAATTGAAGAGAATCACTAGCACAACTCATGGGTTGTCTTGGGATTAAAAGTGATCAAGGGTCCAAATCATTCTTACACTTCTTACCTTAACTCCTATTCTCACACGATCATTCGTTTTCTGTTACAAGGATAATTGTTTTGCTACACTTAGGATATTCGGACGCATATTGTTCTAGAAGTAGTGTGGGATGAGGATGCAATATTTTTCAAAATATTTATTAACAGTTCTTGTATATATACTTGTTATCAACTATCATAGATGAGGCATGTTAATGGGCAGCAAGCGATTTTTTTTGGATGAATTAACTTTTGAACTATGATTAGTTTTAGATACTTCACATTTCTTGCATCTACTTTTATTTTGAAGTTCAATTTACTTCTTTATTTTCTGCCATCAAAATGAAAAGATGGAAAAGACAGCATACATGGAAATGGTAGCATCTATAACTGAAAGCTTACATGCCCGTCGTTAGTTGCAGGTGTTCTTTTCAGGTGCGTTAACATTTCCTTTCTTTACCCAATCAATGAACTCGCTGAGCTTTTTGTTAGAAGATCTTTCTGCTCCCACTTTTTCTTTCAAATTCAAGGCATTTTCTTTGATTATCTTGTTGCTGAGCAACAGCTCGACTTTACTCTTAATTTCTCCTCGTGTGACAATACCACTATCATCTTTCTTCAAACCCAGACCCGTTTTCCAGATATCACAAATGTAAGTTGTATTAAGGAACTGATCAGCAAAGTACGGCCAACACAAGAAAGGAACGCCATTGCTGACACCTTCCATGGTAGAGTTCCAACCACAATGACTCATGAAACAAGCTACTGAGGGATGGCTTAGGACCTCCTGTTGAGGTGCCCAGCTCACAATTTTCCCATGATCGCCTACTCTATCCATGAATCCATTCGGGTAGATAGTACCGTTCATACTGCCACTTGTCTCAGGTCTTACAGCCCACAAGAATGGCTTATTGGTGAGTTCGAGCCCAAACGCCAGTTCTTCAAACTGGGACTGGTTAAAAATTGTGACGCTCCCAAATGCCACATAGATGACTGAGCAAACTGGCTGTTGATCAAGCCATGTTAGACAAGTGAAGTCTTCTTTCCAAAAATGCCCTTCTTGCTTTAAGAAGCGGTTGGTTGCCAAAAGTGGACCTATCGGCAACATCTTCGGAAATAGCCTGAACGCCCCAGTCTCCAGCTCCATAGTCGAGTTGCAAATTATACAGTCGGCTGTTTCTGCAGCTTCCTTAGTACCAAGAATCAGGATATCAAAGATAATCTTGTTTGTGGCGGGATTGCCTACACATGCCCATGTAAACTTTGCAGGGTCCATAAATGGCATAGTTGTTGAGAGCTGAATCATTTGATCCTTCAAAGGTATTCCTGAAAGAAAAAAGTTTCATTGCATAAAAAGCTTTCAATCTACAATTTAGTCAAGTTATTGTTGGGGAATTTGGGTTTGTGGTTTTATATAGTTTGGATATATTTCTGGATCGTGTATGGAAAGACGCTTTCTAAATACTATCTTTCGGCCCCTATAATGCCTTGGGTTTGCACAAATTTGGTACTGGGATAATCCAGAAAATTCATACACGAATTAAGGCACAAATTCGTGTGTATATATATATATACATATATATATATATATATATATTCACCAGATCACGTTTATGTATTTATATGAGAGATCGACGATTACAGGAGATTCAAACGGTTAAAATATAACTGTATGACAGTTATAACCGTTAAAAGATAAGGTTTGGGAGCAGTTATATCATAATCAGAAGCAACATTTGGAACTCTGGTTCCATGGTACAGAGCTCTGGTAGCTCTATATCAGACTTGGTCAAATTTCTAAGGTCCAGAACGCTAGTTCCACAATCCAAAGCTCTGATTGCTCTATCTTTGATCCAGACTTGGTTAAATTTCTACAATTTTGGGAACAATTTCAAGAAGGTTTCCAACCTTCTGAAATTCATCCGGATCATCCCAAAACTAAAATTTGCTTCCCCTTGGACCCTGCCAGGGGCGCGGCCCCTAGGACCCACAAGGGGGCACAGCCCCCTTGACCCCCCACGTTTCAAGTAAATCACAATTACACCAAATGTGTGATGCCGCTAAAATCACTAACAGTTATCTCACCATTTCTATCTATAATTTCATCTTCCAACAGCTTCTGAATGCTCATGATCAACGCCATAACTGCAGCCGCGCTGGAACAGAAGCTTGCCGATCTAATTCCCATCTTCTTTGCAACTCTTATGGCCCATACCAGGGAAGCATCAGCAATAATGCAGGTAACTTTGTTATCTGTTTTGTTAATACCTTCTATTAGCTCTTCTAGTTTTGTGGGCATCATTCGGGATATTGATTCTGTCAACTTGCCGAGGTCACGCCTGTCCTCCCATGGCTGCATCCCATCTGGGATTGAAACCATTTGGATTAAATCATTCGGACCGTCTTTCTGTGAACCGCAGGCACTCATAATCTTTTTATGAGTGACCTCCGTGTTCACAAATGTAACCTTGAGACCGTTGATCGCAATGCACCGTGCCACCTCCATGAGAGGAATTACATGGCCTTGTGCTGGATATGGTATTACCATAACATGCATAGTTTTCTTGTTTGTTTCTCTTGGAAATTTTAGAAAAAGACTTTATGTTTTTGCACTCAAAATGACCTCTTTCTCATTCATATATAGACTTAAATGGTTGAGATTCCAACTATTTATAATAAGTAAGCAAGGGTAGTGGCCGACTTAGAAATGTTTTCAAGTGGTGGCACAGTTTAATTATAAAAAATTAGAAAATTTTCACAGGATTAGATAGATTTGGTGGTTGGATCCTTGTCCCAGCATAGAAGGAACCCATGTTCGAGTTTTGTTTATAGCTTTAAAAAAAATACTAGAGGTATGTAAAAAAACACCAATATAAGCCGGAAACTAAGAAATTTGACAAAAGTGGGATTCAAACTAGGTCCTTTTGAACAAAAGTAGCAACATTTACCAACTCTGCCATTAAAAATTTATGCCAAAACGTTTCAAAAAATATAAGGATACCCAACAAAAGGATACGATGACACTCTTTAGAAACGTAATTTTTGCCCTTACTGCAGAACCATGAAGAGGTAGTCTGTTCCACCGTATGCTCCTATATAGGTCCGTCCCTTTATCTTGCTTTTATTTCTAATGTTATTATTCATTTTCTGTAATCTGCACACTACCTTACTTGTTCATAGTTTCTTGATTATTTTTCTTGTTTAGGATATTAAGGTAATTTGTGAAATTTCTGTCACTTTTCCATTGATATATTTGTGGTAATTCATTAGTGCTGATTCTAACTTAGGAATTCTAGGTTATCTTAAACAAGTCCATTGACACATATAAATAGTAATTTACTACTTCCTCCGTCTCAAAATAAGTGTCAACATTTCTATTTTATTGTCCTAGAATAAGTGTTTACTTTTCCATTCTACCCTTGATGGAGGGAGTTTCTCTCTTTATTATTAAGAGTAAAACTGCCATTTAGGGTCTTTTACCAAACTCTTACTGGGTAAGCGTTTATTGCGTCACTTTATCTTACTAGATGAGTATGGTAAGGACCGAGAATCTTACCCGGTAAGAGATGAGACATCAACTGAGGTTCTTACCCAGTTAGTGAGGGAGGAGGCTCTTACACGGTTAGCATTTACTAGGTAAGATGTACTTATAAATAATCCATTTTGATGGGAATTATGTTCCATTTTGATGTTACTCTTGTCGGTAAACGCTTACCTGATAAACATTTGGTAGACGGCCCCTTGGTTAGCTAAAAAAATGTAATAATTGCATAATTCTAAAAAAAATTAATTGTTGCATAAAATACAATAAATAAAATTTAAAGAATGAATAATATATGAAAAGTGAAACGTGTGATATTTAGAAGGGAATTATGTTCCATATTGATGTTATATTGGTAAAATATAGGTTTGTTCTACGTTTTTCTATGGGGTAGGCGTGAAACATGCATGTTCCATTTTGTTCTACATAAAAGTTCTGTCAAATATGAAACAAATAATCATGTTCTATTCTATCTAGTGTATCAAACGCACCCTTATTTTGGGACGTGAAGTATGTGTTGTTATGCTTGGTGTTTCTTGCGATCTACACTTTTTTACATTTATGTTTTGTGTCATTTTCTTCTATAATTTGTTTTCTTTCCAATTTTATGAGCTTTTGCCACAAAATAGAAAATAATAAACTTTTTATGCTTTTCTTTCTACTAAATATATCAAAAGTGTGACCTTTCATGGTCTTATGAGTCGTCACGTACTTTGAAGAAAAAAAGTTGCATCGTTTTATTAATAGTCGAGATAATAACATCTCTGTTACATCATTCTTCTCCTTCGGTTAATTTTATCTAGATTTGATGAAATTGATGTAATTGAAATGGTTATGACAAGTCGTGGGTCAGGACCCAGGCCCCTGACCTGCTAGCTTGAGTCGCTGAATGAGCCAAAAAAATGTTCTTCACATTGGTGTAGTTGGGGGTTGGTTCCATGTGGAGCTAGTTGTGGTTGCAGATAATCAGCTTTTTCACAAAATATAAGGATGTTACTGATAAATAGTTGTATCTATTTGAGAAATAGTTATGATATTGGTGCTAGGTATGAGGTGGTCATGAACAATGATAGACCTATTAAGCACCAAGTGGGGTCACGTGCACCTCCTCAACTTATTTTTATAAGTAATTTTTTTAGTATGAAAGGTCAACCAAAAAATTCTATCGAAATGGTGAAATTCGATTAAAAACACTTTAGATTGATGTTATAGGCTTTTGATCCACGTTAACTGTGCACCAGTTAGGCAAAACAAATTTGTAAAGGAATCATAATTTGATACTTTAGGTGTTTATATTAAATTCATATTTGATTGGTCATAATCACAAGTTGATATATCAAAGTATTCATATAATTTCATATTTGATTGGTCATAATCATAAGTTGATATATCAAAGTATT